CAATATAAACAATGTAAGCAAATTAAACATATTAATATAAATTTTGAAGCTAAGTATATTAATACAAACAATGTCAACAAAGGAAATAAATTTTGCATATAAATTAGGAAAACTAAATATGGAAAAAAATGCATTAATATAAACAATGTTAACAATAAGGAAAAAATATTTATTCTTTTAAAAGACAATCATATTAGTTAAAATTATTATTTTATGTTTATATTTAAATTAAAATGAAATCTCTAACTTTTTTCTTCCATGATTTCTGTTTTTCTTACTATAAAACACAGTAGTTTATAAAAAAAAACGACAAACACTATAATCTCTAATAATAAATATACAATAATTTTAAAATATCACTTTATAAATCATAATCATGTTTTGAAATCTTACAAAATTCAAAAATATTTATATGATTATTGATGGGGCAGGTTATACTTACTACCAAAAAAGTTTACCACATTTACAATCAAATTAATCACCGTTGATTTTTGTTAATAAAACGGTTATAAACTATTGGATTTATTGGGAATTAATAATTAATTAATAAATGCGACCCAATAATTTCTAATAAATTATAACTGTTAGATTGACGAAAATCAACGGTAATTAGGTTAGTTGTAAAGGTGGTAAGCTTTTTTGGTGGTAATTATATTCTTTCCCATTATTTGATATAGCAAGGCCTTTTTAGGAAATTAGATTGGCAAGATTTTATAATATAAATCTGAAAACATAAATATGGAAAGTAGATTATTGCAAACAATATCAACAGATTGATTGTAAAATTAAATCTCCTTCGTAAAATTAAGGCGTAACAAGGCCAGCAAAGACCTCTTGGCTCTCTTGAGTGCAAACTGATGTAAGGGAGCAATTAAGTACATTAATATAAATTTGGAAACTCTATTAACCAATATAAACAAATTAAGCAAATTAAACACATTAATATAAATTTGGAAACTAAGTATATTAATACAAATAATGTCAACAATAACCCACTGGTTGAAGACCATGTGGCCCAATACCTCGATCGAATCAATAACCTGGAGTCATTGCATGATATCAAGCTAACAAGCACTGACTCGCAATTTTATCAAATATGTGTGTGTCGGACACGTGTCAGACACCGACACGCGTTCGACAGGTGGTCAACATTTTGGACACGCGATCAACGCTCCGACACGTTCCGACACGCAGTCAACTTTTTCGGACACGCGGTCAACGTTCCGACACATTTTTTTATTTTTTTTTAGTCTAAATTTTTATTTATTTATTTATTTTTTGGTACCCTATTTTATTTTATTAACTAAACATAAAAAAATAATTTATAAATCAATTTTTTCTGTTATGAAATTTGATATGAAAAATTAACAAGGTACGAATTTTTTTTTTTATATTTATGATGTGAAATTTGAATATTTGATTGTTTATATGACTTATTATTGGCTGTTATATGTATTAAATATAAATTATATTATATATATTACAAATATTATTTAATATCAAAACGTGTCCCAACGTGTCAAAATATGACATTTTTTAGAATTAACGTGTCGGCGTGTCGTGTCGTGTCGTGTCCCGTGTCCACAGAATGTAAACAAATAAATAAATAAAGAAAAAAATAAGCTTCCTTATCTGGAGTCATTGCACGATCTCAAGCTAACAAGCACGGACTTGCAAATTTTTCAAATTTGTGCGTGTTGGACAACGACACGCGTTCGACACATGGTCAACATTTTGGACACACGATCAATGCTCCGACACGCTTATCCGACACACAGTCAACTTTTTTCGACACGCGGTCAACGTTCCGACAGGTTTTTTTTAATATATATTTTTTAGTCTAATTTTTTTATTATTTTTTATTTTTTGGTATCTTATTTTATTTTATTAACTAAACATAAAAAAATAATTTATAAATCAATTTTTTCGATTATGAAATTCGACATGAAAAATTAACAAGGTACCATTTTTTTTTTATATTTATGTTATGAAATTTGAATATTTTTTTTTATATGACTTATTATGGGCTGTTATATGTATTAAATATAAATTATATTATAAATATTAAAAATATTATTTAATATCAAAACGTGTCCCAATATGTCGAAATATGATATTTTTTAGAATTAACGTGTCGGCGTGTAGTGTCGTGTCCCGTGTCCGTGTCGGTGCATCATAGATCTCAAGTCATATTTTTGGAACTTTATAGATCATCTCTCCTTCAAGTTGTGGACTTTTTATTACACTTGATGCTCTTATTTTAGATATGCGCTAAACAACCTAGTAAATACATGTTATTGACTCCCAAATGTGAGGTCAAATGTCTTTGTTTTATTTCCTTCCTTATAGTGTCTACTTTGTCCATTTTAATTTTATGTATGCAGAGAGCCATCATAAGTTTCTACTCAAAATAAAATCCATCATTATACATACTCAATGTCCCAAACAACACACTAGCGACATGTTGAGAATATATTATAAAAGAATCATAAAAGAAATATTTTTATTATTCATTATGAATCTTTCTTCTTCTTTCGATATCTACACAAAAAAATAAATTGATTTTTCGGTAAAAAAGAGAAAAAGTCAATAGTAAAATTTTTATTAATAATAAGGAACAAACATTTATCCTCTTCAAAGGCAATCATATTAGTTAGAATTATTAATTTTTATTAAATAATTAAATTAAAAAAAAAATCTCTAACTTTATTCCTCCATGATTTCTATTTCTCTCATTATAAAAATAGTGGTTTTGACTTTTGAGTAAAATAACACAATTCTATATGTTTTAAAAGGACAAATACAGTTCACCCAAAAAAAAAAAAAAAAACACTAATCCCTAATAATAAATGTACAATATTTCTTTCTACCAAAAAAAAAAATACAATAATTTTAAAATATCACTTTATAAATCAGAATCATGTTTTGAAATCTTACAAAATTCAAAAATATTTATATGATTATTGATATAAACAAGGCTTGTTTAGCAAATTAAGCAAAATATTATAATATAAATCTGAGAATATAAATATGGAAAGTAGATTATTGTAAACAATATCAACAGATTGATTGTAAAATTAAATATCCTTCGTAGAAGACCAGCAAATTGATGTATGGGGGCAATTAAGTAGAATAATACAAATTTGGAAACTCTATTCACAAATATAAACAATGTAAGCAAATTAAACATATTAATATAAATTTGGAAACTAAGTATATTAATACAAAACAATGTCAGCAAGGGAAAATAATTTTGCATATAAATTAGGAAAACTAAATATGGAAACAAAATACATTAATATAAACAATGTTGACAGATTTAATAAAATTTTAAATCCATATCTTAACAAAGAATCTCCAAGAACGACCACCAAAATCTTGATTCCCTCGCATAATATAAAAAGGGTAACGGTATTCACAGCATGCTAAAGACAAGAACAACCTTTTCTGTTGAGAGTTTGAATAAGGAAACAAGGTTAACGATTTTCTTATCTGTTGGGAGCAGAGAAAGAGTAAGAGACTTTTCGGTGAATTATTCTTCTTTGGGTTTCATCTTCTCCCTCTCTCTCAGTCTTCCCTCCCTCTCCATGCCTTGTCTTTATTTTTGTTTTTTCTTCTCTGAATTCTTGTTTGTTTTGTAAATTGAAAACAAGGTTTCTTTTAATTCTTTTTGTTTTGTAAATTGAAAACAAGGTTTCTTTTATTTCTTGTTTGTTTTGTAAATTGAAAATATGGTTTCTTGTTTGTTTTGTTTTGTAAATTGAAAACAAGATTTGATTTCTGTTGTCAATGTTCTGAGCATTTTCCTTGTGACTTGTGATATCTTTCGCATTGGAATCAAAAGTTAACGACTTAACGTACTTAAACAAACAAAAAAGATAAGAGAAAAAAAAAAAAAACAGAGCAAAGCCTTTGCCAGCTGACAAAGAGGAAGAGAGTTTCATTGTAGTGTACTTAAGAATTGTGTTTTCCATTGTTGGTTTGAATTGTAGCACCCTAGTGACAGGAAGCTATGAGTAAAACTCAACGAAATAATAATGAGCATTAACATAAGAAGGAGAAGAAATATTCGTACATCAATAATTAAACCTTGTTGCATTGCATGCATAGATTTTAGACATTAATTGCATGTATGTCAACCAACAGAGGATACTTTAGCAGAAGATAAATGTCTATGACAAATTGTTATCAATTATGGGTGTCTGTCTAGATGTAACTTAAAATATGAAAAAAGAGTTCAAATTACCAAAAAAAAAAAAAAAAAAAAAATTGCTTCTGGTGTCCTAAAGGTCAAAGGTCTTGCCTTAGAGTGCTACACTCCCTTAATTAATTAATTTGACTTTTTAATATTTTTTAAATTCACTCTTTAATTAATTTTTGAAGTCTAAATCTATAGCTGTAAAAAACTAATCCCACTAGCCTTATTACCTTTGGTGTGGCAAAATGTCATCGGTGCAACGTAGAGGAAAAGTAAATTGGAGAAAATATTATGTTAATTTAATACCTTACATATTTTATGGAACTTAAAAAAAGTTTAAAAAATTAATAACTAAGAAATTAGACAGAGGATGAAGGAATGTTTTTAGTCAATTATTTTTATAGCCGTTTAGTTATTTCAATCCGACAGTTATTGTACAGTTGTGTACTACCTACGAAAAGCTGTTGTTGGTCCCTTCGTTTTAGTTAAAAATTTGGAGTTGTTGGAGATTCCATATTTGACAGAGTTAATCATTTAAAGCCATATATTATCACGTGTGCACAATCATATAAAAAAGGAAAGATAAAGAATAAAATAAATCTAAATTTTAAATATGTATAGAATATCTAAATTTGGAAGCTGTAGATATACTTTTAGCTATGTAATATTTATTATATTTGTTTCTTGCAATATCTTCTTATACACTAACCTTGTTTTTTTTTGTTTAGTTTGACACAGTTGAAGACTTAAGAAGAAAGAAAAAGATCGGTTTACCAAAAAACAAGAAAAAAGAAAAAAGATGATGGCTGAATGGGAGAAGTTGAGAATTTTAGGGAAGGGGTCCTCTGCTATTGTCTACCTTGCTGCCATGGTTGCTCCACAAGAATGCATAGGGAATGTGGTGGCTGTGAAGAGTTCAATGCCTCTCTCAATAGGTTCATTGATGAGAGAAGAAAATATAATGAGATCGTTGATTGGTTGTGAAGAATTCATTCAATGCTACTTTGGCCAATTCACTATTGAGAAGGGTGAATTCATCTATAATCTTGTTATGGAATTTGCACCTTATGGCTCTCTCCGAGACTTAATTAGGAAGGGGCCACTGCTTGAGAGTGAAGCAAGAATCTACACCATTATGCTTCTTAAAGGGCTTTCTTGCATTCATCAAGCCGGAGTTGTTCACTGTGATTTAAAGCCCGACAACATTCTTCTATTTCCTTCATCTAAGAATGATGCAAAGTATCAACTCAAGATTGCAGATTTTGGATTGTCCAAGACTAAAGAAGAGATTATCAATGCTGAGTCTTGGAATTTCAAGTTTAGAGGGACACCATTATACATGTCACCAGAATCAGTTAAGGGTCAGATTGAAACTTCATTGGATATATGGTCTCTTGGATGTATAGTCATAGAGATGATCACTGGGTTATATGTATGGAGGAACCCTCCAACTTCGAAGGAGATGATTCCAACTATAGATGAGATGATGTACAAGCTTGCTGTCCTTGAAGAAGCACCAATGATACCTAATGGAGTAAGTGAGGATTGCAGAGATTTCTTGACCAAATGTTTCATCAAAAATCCTAGTCAGAGATGGACTGCTAGCAAGCTTCTCCACCATCCTTTTCTGTTTTCTCCATATGATTCTTTTAGAGGTTATGAAAGATTTCATATGGTTAATTCTTCGTCCTCATTTTTTTCTTATGATTGTAATTGGTTGTCATTTAAGTCATAACTTTCTGTTTTTGTTGGGTAAGAGGATACCTTTAGGGTACAAATTCTGTTTGTTTATCGCTTTCTGTTTCGTACTCGATGACAGATAAAACTTTGAATTAAAAGAAGTATTGAATGTGTTATTTTTTTTGTTTCTCTTCTGTTATTGGTTTAGTTTAATTTGAATTTTTGTTTCTGTTTTGTTGTTTATGAGGAATATAGAAATCAATGTGCAACAGTGTACAAGAGAATGGAATTGGATATCCAATGTATGGTCTGGTCCTTTAATTAATTGTTGTTTTCAAAAAGCCAAGTAGACACTCTAGAAACAGTATAGTAGTAAATGTAAAACTACATAACACCCTGTCCCTGTTCCTCCAAATGCATTACAAAACTAGTGTAATTGTATTTGAAGTATATCATCTATCAAATAAAAATGAAGAATCCAATTCCATGAGGTTTATAGTTGTATCTATATCCATAATATAATATACTGTTGGAATTTATAGAGAGATCAGAAACTTATAATACCACTGATACAAGGGATACCGTGAACAAGTAGAGATTTGTGGGTCATTTTCTTCCAAGAAGTGTGAATGGTTGTAAAACCAAATATTTAGGACCAACGAGGTTAGTCACATTAAATTAGCGGACTATGAGGCTGTTGGACTTTTTGTTTAAGGTTTGGTCCCACAAACCCAATAACTTCATGATTCTCCGTAACATATTGGACATGTTGCTTCTATCCAATGTAACATATCTTAGTCCTTTCAATTTCAATGCTCATGTTTTGACTAACTTTTGAATGTCACATGAAACATGCACTCTGGGACCGCGCCATTTGTTTGGTTTAAGTTATGAAATTTGTTGAAGTGCACCAAAAATAAATTTTGAGTAAGGAAAATAATACTTAACCCCAGTTTCTCAAAATATTTCATTGAAAAAATTTGACAATATTTTTTCATTTGCAAAAATAAATTTAAGTCTCTTACTGAAAGCCAATGCAAGCTGATCTTATAAAATAGTTATTGGATTCAAGGTTGTTACATAGGCAAGATGGATACTTGGTGACAAGACAACTGACAATAGTTAATATGGTATCAGGTCAAACATTAAACTATCACCAACCATGTAACACCCCGTTCTAGAACCGGTTTGTTAACATCGCATTATGATATTAAGCGCAGTTACAATCACAATTGCCTCAATTAAAAATTCGGATAAATATTTATTTTAAAACGACGCCGAATTTAAAATATCCAATTGCGTGATCATAACCATATTACCTTGCGGAATCAGATAAACCAAGCTTAACATCATGATCTTGTTCCATTTTTAAACCATTAATTTACTTCTTATTTATTTCACAACTTCTACTATATTGTAGATCTCTTCGTTAGCTACGTGTGGGTTCAAACCGCGCTCAAATCGGAGCACTATAGCCCAAGTTATGGGTTTTCTACGAAACGCGCGCGCGAATCCTGTTGATCCCGGCGCGACCGGCGCCAGCTGCGGCGCGGCGGGCGCCAACGAAACAGAATCTCCCGATCACTATGGCGCCAGGTGCGCCAGCTGGTGATCCCGGCGCGATTTGCGCCATAGTTGGCGCCAAGTGCGCCAGAGTTCAGAAGGTTTCACCCAGTCTTAGTATTTTACCTCTCACTATAGTTGTACTTGTCCAAATCTATCATATAAATTCCTCTCCATAGATGGTTCTTAGTTCTTGCATAATACAAACACATCTAAAGGGACATGCATGCCCTTTTCCTCATGGCTTGTACTAAAATTTGGGCAGCATAACCTTTGTTTTCTCAACGTTTCCCAATTTAAACAAAAGGTACCTAATTGATTCTCAGCCCAACCAAATCAATAGCTCAATACATAAAAAGCATGCATATATTGAATTTCAAGTAGGCATCATTTACAGTACATTTTCATTACAAATCATGGAACTTAGCTTACAAACACTATGATCATTCCCTTGGCTTCCATCAACAAAAGAGATGACCAAAGGCATGAGCATAGGCTAAGTCCATTCCAATATACAAATCATAAATCTATCATTGCCTATTAATTACACTTCTATACATGTGAGCTACAAAACAACATGTATAATCTCAAAAATGCAACACTTCATGCATATGCTAATCCAGATATGGCCACTTGCCACCAGAGGCTCCTGCATCATCCTTACCTGAAAGGGGGTCCCCACAACACGGGGTGAGATATACGAATATATCCAGTAAACCAGGGGTCCTTGGAGCATCTCTCCACCCCACAGTTCCATATCAGTGTAATAGCAATAACAATAATAATGCAGTAAATACATATCTATGCAAAGTGCAATAACATCTCCAGGAGAAATCCCTCGAGCTCTCAAGCTGTCCTAAGGAAACTCAGATGCAAATAGTCCTACTGGCCAGCTAACTACCAAGTATGATTTACGCATCGTCATGCAACATACCAACATAGGGAAACACCATCCTATGCCACACCAAATGCATACACATATGTATAACAAAGCATTACACTATTTTATTGCATTTATATACACTATAATCACCACTACCCTTTCAGGGCTTGGTGGAACAATCAAGGGAATTACACCCAAGGTCCGAAGGCTTACCTCAATGCTTCAGTCAACCTTTGTTCACCACCAACAGGTTCCACAATCAGTCAATTACAATACTTCACTTCTCAAACAAACTTACACAAGGTTTAATGCAATTAACACATATTGCATCCAATAACACCTCATAGCTATCAACCAAGCTATACAATTCATACCAAACATAAGCATGAACTTACCTATCCAATGGAGCTAATCAAGCTCCATAGCTTGCTCCAATGGTTGGTCTCTCAAGGTTGGCCCAATTGCCTCAATCCTAGACAACACCAAGGCATAATCAACAACCAACCAAACCAAACCATTTATCAACAATGCAAGAAATCCAATATCTAAGTGTCATATTCTTGCCATTTTCCAAATATACTCATTTAGCTATCTAAGCTCATTTTCACCGATTAAACGTCGTTCCTAGCATTTTTCACAACATGCTCTAAGCTCCATTCTTCCTAGAACATAGCTAATTTAACAACATTTCATCAAAAACCCTAAAACACTATTCATAAACCCTAACTCATGCAATTTCAAGGAATCATGAGGTTCAAGGGTTAGAATCTTACCACCAATGGTCACACAACCAAGGGTTGATGGCTCCTCAAGCTTCAATGGAGGTTGAAGCACTCAAAACCCCAAAATCTCACAAAGGGTCGAATTTTTTAGAGCCAATATCTCACCACACAAAGCTCCCCACTAAGAACTAAGCTTGGATCATGAAAGAGGGGAAGATTTAGAGTGGTTTAGGCTTTTGAATCACTCTGATCGGTTAAGGATTGCTCCATCTAGGTTCTCTCTCCTTCTCCCTATCTTTTTTCCTCTTCTTTCTCTCTTCTCTTCTGTTTCTGTCGACGGGGAAATGGGGGGGAAGATTGGGTTTCTACTTGCTTTGGCCACTTAACATTAGTTAAGTGGAATCAAGTAGGTATTGGTTCGTCTATCTATTCAACTCCAATAATTACCAAACTTTACCCAAAAGTCTGGAATATTATTCTAGGAATATTTCCACTTTTATTTTTATATTTTGGGTACTTTTGCCTGTACCCATTTATACCCCTTAATTTTCACTGAGTACACTTTTTAACTCCAAAGTGACTCAGATTCATTTAATTAAGCCTTATACTTAATTTTACTCACTAAAACATGCTTAATTATTTAATTACATGTAATTTGCTAATTAATTGGGTTAGGGCTATTATAGTCACCCCACCTTTTAGCGATTTTGTTCGCAAAATCAAGAACGTACCTGTCCTTAAACTCAGGATACTGCCGGAGAAGCTCGTCTTCCCGTTCCCAAGTGGACTCTTCAAGCGTCCTTCCTTCCCATTGGACTTTCACCATAGGAATAGATTTATTTCTCAGCCTTTTCTCATCTCTTTCGAGTATCTTCAGTGGCACAACAGGAGTCTTCAAATTCTCCCGGATCTCAACATTATCAGGTTGAACCACATGAGAAGGATCAGCTACATACCTCCTCAGCTGAGAAACATGAAACACATCATGCAAATTTGCCAATTGTGGAGGTAAGGCAAGCTGGAAGGCAACCGGTCCCACCCTACGAAGAATCTGGTAGGGTCCAATAAATCTCGGACTCAGCTTCCTCACTCCCAGGGTTCGTCCAACACCCGTAACCGGTGACAGCTTTAGGAATACATGATCTCCCTCCTCAAACTCTAGAGGTCGATGCTTGAGATCATAGTAACTTTTTTGACGATCCTGAGCCTTTTTCAGACGATCCCTAATCATTTTGATCTGCTCAGTAGTCTCCTGAACAAAATCCAATCCAAACCGCTCTATATCTCCAACCTCTGACCAACAAGTAGGTGTTCTACACCTGCGACCATACAAGGCCTCGTAGGGAGCCATACCCAGACTAGCATGGAAACTATTATTATATGAAAACTCAACCAGCGGGAGATATCGATCCTATGCAGTACCCTGCTCCAGGGTGCAAGCCCTCAGCATATCCTCCAACGTCTGAATGGTCCTCTCAGTCTGACCATCCGTCTGTGGGTGATAAGCAGTGCTCAATCTCAACTGAGTGCCAAGAGCCTCCTGCAATGCTCCCCAGAAGCGAGAAGTGAACTTCGGGTCCCGATCACTAACAATGCTCTCAGGCACCCCATAAAGCCTCACAATCTCCTTCACATAGAGCCTAGCCAATCTCTCAGCAGAGAAATCTACCCGAACTGGCAAAAAGTGTGCGGATTTTGTCAATCTATCCACAATCACCCATATAGAATCATAACTAGCCTGTGTTCGCGGCAATCCCACTACGAAATCCATGGAGATACTCTCCCATTTCCATTCCGGAACATCCAGAGGTTGCAACATACCAGAAGGCTTTTGATGCTCAATCTTGACCTTCTGACAAATGAGACACTTAGAGACAAATTCGGCAA